AATAGGAGAACCATGGGGAGGCCTTTAGCATGTGGAATAAATTCTCTGTGGATGATTCATAGAAATACATCAAGAAGAATTGTATAAGTTGTAAAGGTACCAATGGATTGATATTTGTATAGGGAGAGAAAGTACCTATGCCTATGAAATAATGGACTAATCAGAGAATCACATAAGCATTTCACACAGCTGTTCTCCAAAGGTTATGCCAAAGGTCTTCAAGGATATTGATGGTTTATTTTTGTTTTTTTGTTTTGTTTTGCTAGGCAATGGGGTTAAGTGACTTACCAAGGGTCACACAGCTAGTAAGTGTCAAGTGTCCGAGGCCAGATTTGAACTTCCTGACTCCAGGGCCGGTGCTCTATCTACTGTACCACCTAACTGCCCCTTGATGGCTTATTTTTTAAAACAGTAAATATTGCTATCTTTTGTTTTTACATCTCCTACGTTTCCTAATGTGTGTCTTCTCCCCACACCTCTGAAAAGGATATCTTATAGCAAAGAATAAAAAAGAAGGATCATTAAACAGTATATCAAAAAAGTCTGACATTATATGAAGCGTTCCAAAAGTCTTCTTCAAAGAAGCTCAGAAAGATACAATCTCTCATCTCTTCTTTGGGGCTAAGTTTGGTCACTACAATTTTGCAGTATTCACTTCATTTATTTTGTTCTTATTGTTATCCCCATTTCCATTGGTAGAGTCATTGTGTATATTGTCTTCTTAGTTCTACTTCACTTTGCATCAGTTCAAAAAAGTCTTCCCATGCTTCTCTGTAATCATCATATTTATCTCTTACAGCACAGTAATATTCCATTACATTCATATAATATAATTTGTTTAGCCATTCGCCAGCTGATGGGCATGTTCTTTCTATTTCTTTTCTATTACAAAAAGTGCTGCTATAAATACTTTAGTGTGTATGGGCTTTCATTTTGTATTGCTCAGCAATAGAATTTTTGGGTAAAAGAATATGGATATTTTGCTGCTGTGTAGCAACCCTGATAAACAAACAGTGAGCCAGAATGGCAGAAATGAGGACCAGGCAGACAGTTCTATGGTTGGGGGTTGGAGATAGGGACTGGGGACAGAAGTATCTCCCTATCAAAAAGTGGGATAAAGAGAAACCTTACGTTCCAGTAGTGTCTTTCACCCAGCCAAGGAAGATATTTGGTAGTTTCTATGAATAAATATCTGGGGTTGAAATTTGTGAGGGAGAAAATGAAATGTGTTATACACATGCCATTTGTATCCGATATCAAATTCCTGTCCATTCATATTAGAAGGTGGTTCACGTTAAACGAAATTCTCCAGACAGGAGAAGGATTGGTACTAGCCTTCTTGTATCACTTAAATGGGTTTATTGTTTTTTTTTTTTTATATTTTTTGTCCAACCAAGCAAAAGAGCGAGGAAAAGGAATATACTTTTGCTAAACATTTTATTTTTAAAAAATAAAAAAATTCACACAAAATGCCCCCAAAAGGGTATGAATATTTAAATCACTTTCTTTACATAATTCAAATTATTTTCCAAAGTGGTTAGACCAATTCTCAGCTCCACAAATAGTTTATTAGTGTGCTTGTCTTTCTACAGCCCTTCCAATGTAAAGTATTCCTATTTTTTGTCATTTTTGAAAACTTGCAAGGACATCTTTTTTAGTTCTCGTTCTTGACCTTTCTGCAGCATTTGACAACATTGACCAGCCTAGTAAACAGTTCTCATCACCCCCTCTATATGTGATATTTTCTCTTCCCATGGCTTTCCTCATTGCTTTTTTTTTTTCAGCCATTTAAGCAAACCCTATCAGTTTTATTCACTTTTTCCTTTTCCATTTAAATCTAGGCATCCCTCCAGACTTGGTCCTCCTCTTGTCTATACACTCCCATAATACTTATATCCTCTCATATAGCTCTAAACTATATGTGGGATCACCAGTTGGTGTAATCAGTGGATAGAGGGCTGGTCCTAGAATCAGGAAGATTCCTCTTCCTGAGTTCAAATATGGCCTCAGACACTTACTAACTGTATGACTCTAGGCAAATCACTTAACCCTGTCTGCCTCAGTTTCCTCATCAGTAAAATGAGTTGGAGAAGGAAATGGCAAACCACTCTAGTATCTTTGCCAAGAAAACCCCAAATGGGGTCACGAAGAGTCAGACATGACTGAACAATAGCTCTATGCATTAGGTCAGCCTTGACCTCCATTGAGCACCAGTCCCAAATCTCCATTTGACTACTGCATATCTCTACCTGGAAGTCCAGCTAAAACCTGTAGTTCAATATGAAGAATACTGAACTTTTTGTTTTCTAGACCTGGCCCTCTCCCTATCTTCCCCATTTCTGTTGGCACCACCAGCTTCCTAGTTGCCCAAGTTTATTACTTCAGAGTCATTATTAACACTTCCCTTCCCCTCACCCTGCCTCCTCCATATCTCAAATTAGTTGCCAACTCCTTTTGACCCAATCCAGTAACTATCTCAGGCATCTGTCGCTTTTCACTTTCACTACTATTCCTTGTTACCACACACCTAGTCTAGTATAATAAAACCCTAGCTCATCTTGTATCTAGTCTGTCCCTCTCCAATTAGGAGAGTAAGCTGTGAAAGACTACAGATACAAAGAAGCTATGAAAGTAGAGGAGCTGGAAGGATGGAAGATGAGAAGATGGAAAAGCACAGGAACTGGATAGTAGAAGCCAGGGGAGGGGAAGTGACACTATGAGATTGTCAGTGCCAGACTCCAGCACACAGGTTATACGGGTGGATCTTGCATGAGGTGGTTGAGAAAGATGTATTACTGACCTCCCTTCCCCAATCCCAGTGAAGATACCAAGGTAGCGATTCATTTTTCTTTTCTCATTAAGTTTATCTCTCTTACCTCACTGGAGATCAGTGCCTTTTCCAACTGGGATGAGGAATATCTTTTCTTTAAAAGTTTGTTTACCCTTTGTTTAAACATTTATTTTGTTTCGTAAGCTGGCAGTTGTGATAAACTGTTAACTCTAGACGTTGCTGTTCTGGTTATACTTATTTGAAAATATATCTGGAAAGGTTTTTGAAGGATTTTTTCCTGGGAGATAGTGATAGCATTTTTGATAGCACTCTGTGGGCTGGGGGCTCAGAGCTTAAAAAAATTAGAAATTCATTTTTATAGCTTCATAGAACAGATAATGAATACCAGGTTCTTAATCTTTTTTTTTCTTTTGTGCCAGCGTTTGGTAGTCTGGTGAAACCTATGGACCCCTTTCTTAGAATAATGTTCTTTAAAACAAAATAAATACATATGATATACAAATAGCATACATAAATACATAAAATAAATACAATAGGAAACTATATTAAAATACAATATCAAAAATTTTTTTTTTATTTTAAAGTCCAAGGACCTTAGGTTAAGAAGCCCGGCTCTAGTCAATGAATGAGTCAGCAGTGTCAAGGGCTAGTAATGAGATGAAGCCTCTGCCATTTTTGGGGCAGACAGACGCTCCCAGAGGAAAGCAGCTGAGGGAGTGCTCAAAGGGATGAATGACCCCCATCCACAATAAAGTACAATGGAAAGTGAGAATGGCTGACAGCCCTGCCCAACCATAGGGAACCATATCATTGCCCCATTGGTATAGTGCTTTAAAAGTTGTAAAGCACTTTCTTCACAACTACCCTATGAGAAAGGTACTCCATTTTACAGATGAGAAAACTGAGGCTCTGAGAGGTTAGTTGTTGAAAACATTTACTTCAATGACCCTTGAAATAATTGATGATACTGCTGTTTGGAATTGTGCCTCCAGTCTGCCTATTCTCACAGAAGCCCCATCAGTATTGTATTGAGATCATTCATTATCTTTCAGTGTTCACATTTCTAAACCAATATCCAGTTACATGTAGGAAATAAGACTTTTATCTCCTATAAGTTAGAAGATAAAGATTGAGTTGTTCACCTTTTACCTCTCATAAATTACTCCACAATCTGGAAATGAAAACAGTTAGGTTGAAGGTCAGTAAAGTTCTGCTTACTCTTTTCAACTCTTAAGGTCAGTGGTCTATTTGCTTCATTCTTTATCCTTTCTTTTCCCTCTTTCATTGTGCCTAGTTTTTTTCTCTACTCCTCTTTTTTTGTCTTTCTGCCTGTTTGGTTTTTTTTTTTTTTGTTTGCTTATTCCCTGTACTCACCCCATCCTATCCCTCTTTACTTTCTCACTGTGGGGACAACCACATTTTTATATAAAGGATGAAGGGAAAGTGACACCAAAGAGAAATCCCTTAGGACAAAATCACTTCCATCATAAAGTCAAGTAAGGAAAATTCATTTTTATATGCTAGACAGAGAAGGAATCATTGTCACTCAGGGTGTTTGCTCACCCCAGATTTTGGAAACAGACGCAGGGATGGGCTACCCATTAATATGAAAAGTCAATATCGAAGATCGATTTTGTGAGTCAAAAAGTGAGCTACTTAAAGGTAGGTACTTTTTTCGTCTTTATACGCTTAGCACTTGGCACAGTGCTTGGCACATATTATAAACTTAATAAATGTTGTTGAACTTAGTTGGATTGGTCCATTAGGAAGCCACTGATGTTCTGAGAATGAACAAAATGTATTTCAAAATGAATTTTCTTTACGACATTAGGAAATCTCAATTGCTTATTGGTAGATTAAGAGACAGTCCTAAGACAGAATTTCTTTGTTTCAAGAAACTGCCATTGAAACTATTTTATAAAATTGGTTGATTTAAAAAATTATATGAGAATACTTCAAAGTATATGTGAGAATAGAATTTTAAAAGTAAATTTATTTTGTATTTGTATTTAAGTTTTAAATTTTTGATAGTGTATAATGTGCATTTCTACTTTCTTGAGAACATATTAATTGTTCAGGTCTATGCATGAGTATAGTGTGGAATCCTGCTAATATTGTCACATGATACAAAAAGCACCATCATTTTGTCATTCCCAGTAAATTAAATAGCATGGTTGTAAATTTTCTAATTTCTATTTTCCTTATTTAGAGAAGAAAATTTGAAAAAAACTGGACAGAAACCTAGCAGAGCAAGTCAGAGGAGAAACAGGAGAAGAAATAGGAAACTGAAGAATAGTAATGGTAACTCTATGGAGAAAGATTCATATGGAACCCTAAGTCATCCTGTGCCAGAGGATGAGGGCACATCTGAAAGTGAAGGACATTACTCAGAAGAAGAGAATGATGGAAATTTAGTGTCCATGTCCATTGGAGATCTGAGATGTACATCAACAGATTTTATAAATGGACACAGTGAGGAAAGTAATAAAAGCCTAAAACCTGAACTTGGAAAAGAAAGTATTTCTAATGCTCGATCTGTAACTCTGGAAAGTATACCACGGTGTGACTCAACTGCAGAAAGTGACAACTTGTATCAGTTAAGCTTGACATCCATTCCCCATGAAAATGCAGTTGGATACATGTTTAATCATCAGACAATGGTTCACAACTTTGTAGGAAGACAGAATAATTCCTGTGTACCAAGTGTTGAATGCTCTGAAATGAAGGCTGACAGTCACGCTGAACTGAGTCACTCTGTGGTGTTTGGCATTAAGGATAGAGTTATATCTGCTAAGGCCACAGGCATTCTCACAGAGGAGGAGAACATGTCAGCTGAAAGCCCCAGTGATAAAGAAATGCTGCTTAATCAAGGCAAATTGGACTCTTCATGTGAAAATTTAAAATATGGGCACAGAGCAAATAGAAATCAAACAAATTGTTGGGCTTTTTTCTCAGCCACATTATCTGATGAAAACCTGGAGTGGGATTTGGACACACAGCCGTCTTTTGCTGGTTGGCTTGAGGGGCCTCGTAACTTTATAAATCCTCAGAGACAAAAGAAAGCTAGGTGTTCCAGACGGACTTGTCCTGCTGGCCCTGGGGAACTGATGAGACTTGTCCACAGATATGAAGACACAGAACCAGAAAACCATGTGCAAGGACTGATGGAGGAGAATGCTGATGCATTAAGAAATGAGGAGCTGACATCTTCTCCAAATAAACCTATGGACCTAATTCCATTCATAGAGACAGAAACTAATGTCTTTAGAAGCAACTTGCCTGAAATATATGTCCAAAGGAAAACATCAGCAGTAATTACTAAGAAGGGAAGACCCAAAAGGATTTTTAATTTGGCTCCAAACTTTCACCTGCCGAGACAAGTTGTGTTTAGTGTAGTGGAGAAGAGAGATGCTCTGTTAACAGATAGTCAGACATTTAAAAATGTTTTGGTTGTAGAACATGACAGAATTGCAGAAGTGAATCATGAAGAGAAGAATAAGCCAGAAGGGAAGGCTCTCCAAAATAATCCATCACGATTTAACCAGGATTATCCCATAGATCTTGCATCCAACCCTAGAGGAGAATTTCAGTCTCATGATGTATCATTCGATCAGCTGAGACAGACTTTGTGTCTTCCCCAAACGGCTGTTTTGAAGCTTTTATTTACAAATGAGAGAAGAATTCTGACGTTTGAATCACCGACAGTGGGAAATAGGCTGAATGAGGTGGAACTGATTTCTTTGGAAATCTTAAATCAAAAGCCTGATATTGTATTATCTGCTAAAGTTTCTTCTGAGCATCCTGGTGTCGACTTTGATATTTTTTCTGGAAGTTTTGGTGTCATTGTTCACACAAGAAACAAGTCCAAGTTGCCACGACGTATACAAGCTGAAGACGGTGGAGACTCACCAAGTGTTGTGCCTAGTTCTCTTGATCTGCCCTTATCCCAGAGATTTGCTTTCCAACTTGTAAATCTGTTTGGATCTCCTGGAGTTCCAATAGGTAACTTTTTTTTTTCAGTTTCTTAAAATGAATTTTCCAGTTGCATACTGCAAGTTGCCTTATAATCAGTTATTTCATGGCATTTCACTGACTGTTTTCATGTAGTTTTATCACTTAGGTTGAGCCTTTCAGTTTTGTGATCAGAAGATTCATCACAAACAGTGCTTTCTCTTCGATACTATTATTAGTTATTTTTGAGTGAGTGATATTATATGGGCATTCTTAATCTAAATAAATTCTGGGAGAATGAAGAGAGAAGATGAAGTCAAATTAGACAAATGAGTGGCTTAGGAACTACTGAGGAAACTAAACTTTATTTCCCTCAGAACCTGCCACCTCTTGTCAAAATTCTCAGTTGGCACATGAACCCTACTTTGTCCTCATTCATAATTATAAAATTGTGCAGCTCAGGTTGAACTATAAGAATAAATTAATCATTGAAAAAAACTAAAAATAGAAAAAACCCTCAAGTCTGTTCAAGCTGAGATTTGATAATCATCTTTGAAGGATGTTGTAAAGGAAAGGAAATTTGGACTAGATGGCCTCTAAGTTCCCTTCCCAATTCCATGACTTGATTAAGTTTTTTTTTTTTAATTCATTTGTAAATAAAATGCAGTTGATTATGAGATGGACTAGTATACATGTCTAAATAATTTAATATGAAACCTTTTTTTATTCTGAAGAAAAAAAATCATATGCTATTATTTACGATACCAGCTGACATGAAGTTTAAAAGGTAGGCATATCCAACTTTTGCCCAATGTATAGTGACCCAACTCATAAGTCAGTGTTTCTTAATCTTTTTTTTTTTATCATGGATCTGTTTATTAGTCTGGCCAAGTCTGGCACTACTTCTCAGAATGTTTTTAAATGCACAAAATAAAATACATAGGATTACAAGGAAAAAAATTATATTAAAATACAATTATCAAAATATTGAAAACAAAAACAAATTCATGGGCTCCAGATTCAAAATCCCTGTGACAGAACAGCAGCCTAGCCATTCTTCTTTCTGAGCATAAGGGATGCAAACTGATTAAGCTAAGATGCAAATGCTTGAGGGCCATGTGTTCCATCCTTTTTAGGGATCCTGGCTGTCAATTTCTCTTCTACCAGGTTATTGTTTTCTGGTACCCTCCAAGGTACCAGGACTCATCTGCTATCTCTTACTTTGCTTGCTCACTTTTCCACTCTGTTCTTAATCCTTCTTTTGCTCCTTGACAATCTCAGCCATCTTAGCCCCAAAAACACCTTACTAAAAATCAGCAATAAATTTTATGGCCAGAAAAGCAGAGTCGGTAGCTTATTCTTGGTGTTTTTGAATCCTGTTAATGCTTTAAGGCAGTGATTCCCAACCTTTAAGGAATTGCTATGTCTTTTCGTTTTCTATCCTCTTAAAAATACTATGTGGCATATTCATTCATTCATTCATTTATATTTGTTATTTTTTTAGTTTTTTAAATTTTTAAATGTTTGCAAAGTGCTCTATATCTATTATCTCATTTGATCTTTATAACAACACTGCTAAGTGCTATTATTATCCCCATTTTATAGATGAGGAAACTAAGGCTGAGAGATGTTAAGTGATGATAATCCTTCCTTAAACACTTACTAGGGGACAGCTAGGTGGTGCAGTGGATACAGCACCGGCCCTGGAGTCAGGAGGACCTCAGTTCAAATCCAACCTCAAACCAAACATTTGACACTTACTAGCTATGTGACCCTAGCAAGTCATTTAACCTCTAACAGCATCAGTCTCCTTATCTGTAAAATGGGGATAAAAATAGCATTTACCTTCCAGGGTTGTCATGAGAATCAAATGAGATAATGTATGTAAAGCACCTTGCAAATACCAAAGTGCTACCTATATGTTAGCTATCAGTATTGTTGTGATTATTATTTTTTTATTACTGGTCTCCAAGGTCATTCTCTTCCCTGTCTCAAGGAGTCCAGTACCTGGCTCACTGTCTTCTCCACAGCTCAATAGAGACTTCAGTATACAAGTTGACATTCCTTTAAATACTCTAACATCCCGTTTTCTTAGTCTCTTCAAATTCCATAAACTATTCCTTGACTCTTCTTTAGAAGAGTTAATCTCTTCTAGATCTCACAATCACCTATAAGTCTTCAATTTCCGTGATCAAAAAATTTGACAAACCTCTGTCTGATCATAACCTACTATCATTTCACCTCTCCTTTGACTTGCCCCTCCTAACCCTATTCTTTGTCTTCATTGTGCCCTTTAATCCCTCTGGACTTTCTCAGACTGTCACCCCTGTTCTAACTTCACTCTCCTTCCTTTCCAATCTCAATTCTCTCATGAACCAGCTCAGCCCCATGCTGTCTTCTGTTCTCAAATTCGTCCTTGTGCTCCACCCTATCCTATTTCCATTTCCACCTATGCCTTACCAAACTGAAACTCCAATTACTGCCCCCACTCTGCCTTGCTGTACTTAACTGGCTGCTGACTGAAGTTGGAGAAAGTCCAGCCAGCCAACCTGATGCATCCGCTGACATATTTGTTATCTAACCTCATTTGAGCCCTCACCCTAGCAAGGAATCCTTTTACTCCTCCCTAACTGATTCCCTATCCCACTTGCTCAAAAAGTTATTTAAAACCTTTTCTCCTCACACCTTCCATATCTTTTCCTCCCTTCCCCCAACTCCCTCAATTGAGGACTTGCTTGTACTACTGAGAAAGTAGGGGGCATTTCCTATGAGCTCTCTCTTCTCCACTTCTTTTCATTGCAAAGGAGACCAAGGCTTGGGCCATTGACATAGCTTTCTTATGTCCTCTGTACAAAAGTTAGCCCATGAGGGAATGAGAGTTGCTCTCTCTCACACACTTAACCAGTATACCAAGATGTGTAATACGTAGTCAGGGAAGTTGGTTCTCTCCTCTTTTTTTCCCATCTCCAATAATGAGGTAGCCCTTTTCCTTCTAAGGCCAACTCTTCCACATGTGATTTTTGTCCCATCCGTTCCTCTCTTCTCTTCTCTAGCAGATTGCCCTCTCAATCATTCCCCCTCACTCTGTAATCTCCATTCTCTCATTTACCCATTCCTTCATCATGTCTTCAAAAGTGCTCAAGTACCCCTGTCCTTAGGAAAGAAAAAAAAACAAACCAGAAAACCTTTATTAGACCTTGTCGTCCTCTCAAGTTATATTCCTATAGTATTCCTCCTTTTCTCAGCCGAACACCGAGAAAAAGCTGTCTACACTTATTGCCTCTATTTCCTCCCTTCTTGTTTCTCAACTCGGCACTCTGGCTTCTGAACTCATCACTCAACTGAAATTGTTCTCTGCAAAGTTACCAATGTTCTCTAAATTGCCAAATATAATGGTTTTTTCTCAGTCCTTATCCTTTGCTCCATTTGACATTTTTGACTGCCCTTCCTGGATGCTCTCTTTTCTCTGGGTTTTTGTGACACTTCTTCCCCTAGCTCTCCCCCTGCTTGTCAGACTGACTTTCAGCCTCTGTTGCTGGCTCATTAAATAGGTCATGCCTCCTAACTGTGAGGGTACCTGTGGGAGTACAAGACCCTCTTTCTCTTTAAACTTTCACTTGGCAACCTCATCATTTTTGTCATAAGTTGGACCTGATTCAGGCCAGTTTGGTATGTCACATTTGGAAGTGCAATGAGATGAGACACTTGTGGATCATCTAATAATTGTTGTTCATCCTTCATTTTTGAAGACTTCCAATGACATCATGGGGTGATGTTTTGATTTACTCTCCAATTGGATGTAAGTGAGGCAGAGTTGCGCAAAATCATCAGCCTCACTCTCTCTTCCAGAGTCATTGAAGTCCAGTGGAAAGACAAAAGTCAGGATGACTGAAGACAGCCCAGGATCCAGTGGATGACCTAAGCATCTTCAATGTCTGACCAAGCTCTACATGCTCCACAGCTCCACATGTGCTTCAGCCACCTTTCATGGCCTTTGGAACAAATTGTTCTCATCCACCCATTGTGCCAGGGAAGTCTTCATGTGCTTGGGGTAGACATCCCCCTAACTCACTGACAGGTTGGAAGCCTGTTGGTTACTCTTAACTTGGTTTAGCCCATCTGCCTAGATGTTTTACCGGGGTGTGGCTGCTGTGCCTGCTGCAGCTTCTTGGAGCCACAGGTGAGAGTTGGGTGAATCAGGTGGATACCAAAGGTGGATGGGCAGCCCTGAAAAGGGCTCAGCAGACCCCCACACCAGAGGTGCTGGTCCTCCTGAACACCCCATACACCCCCATCTAACAATTAACAAAAAGAGACGTACTTAGCCATAGCATAGAAATAATACTCAGCAAGGACGTAGAATTAACTAACTTGAGCCAGCTTCCCTGCCTCTGCACTGACCATCCTGGTATACCAGGCAAGTGTGACAAAGCAACTTTTGCCTCCTTGTGAGCTGATTTTTTTTCTTCTTTTTTTTGGGGGGGGGGTGTGTGGTTAGGCAACGGGGTTAAGTGACTTGCCCAGGGTCACACAACTAGTAAGTATTATGTGTCTGAGGTTGGATTTGAACTCAGGTCATCCTGAATCCAAGGCCAGTGCTCTATACACTGCGCCACCTAGCTCCCCCCCCCCCTTTTTTTAGGCAATTAGGATTAAGTGATTTGCCCAGGGTCACACAGCTAGTAAGTGTCAAGTGTTTGGTCTGAGGTCAGACTTGAATTCAGGTCCTCCCGACTTCAGGGCTGACTCTATCCACTGAACCACCTAGCTGCCCGTGCCTCCCACCCCCAACCCGCGTGAGCTGACTTTTGTACTTAGGATATCAGAAAGCTATTTCAATGGCTTAAGTGTTAGTCTCCTGAGCCAATTAAATTTTGAGGATGTTTCCAATACCATTTAAGGAAAAATTAATCTAGCCTACAGAAAAAGCATTACTTAAGCATTATGTGTTTAGCACTGTGTTAACACTGGGGATGCAAAAACAAAATGGCCTACTCTCAAACTTATATTCTAGTGGGGGAAGGAAACATAGAGGCAAGGTAGCTGGTGTGGAGAGTGATCTAGAAAGGAATTGAGCAGTGGGGCTAGGACTTCTGATGATGTGGTGGTTCTGGGCAAAGACTCATTAGTCATCAACTCAACCTCAGGGTAGAATCATCTTCAGGGGGACGATACAGCCAATGTGGTACAATATCCTAACCCCTACCTCCATGAAAGTTAGGGTAGTTTTTCCTTAACTGGTATTGAGACCATCCTTGAAACTTAGTTGGCTCAGGGATTAAAGGCTCTGGCTATTGTCATTACTTTATGGTCACCTGAGTACAAAGCAACTGTGGTGTGCTTTGTTGTGCACTGGTGTGCACTGATACTTGGCTGGTGGAAAATGGGGCAGCTGAAGCAAGGAGTGACTCAGCTAAATGAGCTTGAGCTGTCCTGAGTGCCTATCCTTGCTGAGTTTCTTTCTCTTGCCATGGTGGCTCAGTATATCTCTTTTTGTTAACTAATGAATGCTCTGCCAGTGCTTCATATTGTTCCATTACTAAGCCTAAACTACTAGAGGACTGACCTGAGTAGAACCAGCTCAAAACACCTACATAGCAAATATCGCTCCTCACACAAGCCCCCATGGGTTTAATTATCATGTCTGTTCAGATGACTCACAGATCAATATCCATTCCAATTTCTCTCCTGACCTCTAGTTGTGAATCACCAGTTACCTGTTTGACATTTTGAAGTACATGTCCTGAAGGCTTCTTGAAACCTTAAAGCTTGTTGAAGAACTCAGTGGTCCCAAACTGAACTCATTATCTTTGCCTCCAAACCCACCTACCCACCCCCTCTTGAATATCACTGTTTCTATCGAGGGCACCATCATCTTTCCAATACCTGGGTTCACAGTCTTGGTGTTAGTCATGACTCTTCACTTTCCCTCAGTTCACATTAGCTGCCAAATCTTGCTTCTGCCTCCATAGCTTCTCTCATATCCAGCATCTTCTCATTACCCAGATGGCTGCCATATTAGTTCAGACCCTCATAATTCTCACCTGTAGCATTACAATAGCTTTCTAATTGGTGTTCCTGCCTCCAGTATCTCCCCATTCAAATCCATCTTCCACATAGCTACCAAAGTGACTTACCTTGAACACATTTCTGATCACATCCCTTCTCTACTCAGTAAACTCCAGTGATTCTCTAGGTACGAATTTGCGATATAACAGTGGCTATACTAATAGTGGCTAGGTCAGAGTACCTGATCATATGCCCTGGGAGTCCTGACTACTTACAGAATCTAGACTAGTACCTTTAGGAATACTTGCTATATAAAAAAGACAAAAATAAATGATGAGAACCTAAGCATTCTATAAATATTGTAAGAGAAATGTTAAGAGGATTATTGAAGGACTGGGTGATTCTGACTTAGATTTCTGGGATGGCTACATGGAGAAATCAAGTTTTGATCTGTTTTTTTTTTTTTTAAAGAAGGGAAAGAACTTGCTTAGGGAGAGACAAGGTAGGAAAGAATATCCAGGCTGAGATTTTATCGGAGGGGAAGAATGTTAGTGAAGCAGTGTGAATATATTTGTTTGACTAAGTCAAACTGAAAAATGAATGAACAAATAACTGGTGTACCTGAAAGTGGCTAGAATTTTGTAGGAGAGGAGCCATGTGACAAAAATTATATCCCATAGTAAACATGTGGTGTCATGCACATTTGTTACGCATAGATTAATAGTGGGTGATAAAAGTCATGGAGAAGATCTGGCTGTGTCTCTGCCTGAATTTGGCCTTGGCAAGATTTAGTACTAAGCAATATTTTTTGGTTATCTAGGCCATAGCTAGTATGTATGAATTTGTGACACATTATAAGCAATTCTTTTATTAGCTACTACTTTTCTTATCAGACACCCAAATGTTATAAAAAGATCAATTCAAAAGAATACTTTTTAAAAACTATACTGTGATGTTTTAAATGTACTGGTAATGGGAAGGGGAAAGGGAATATGCATTTACATAGCACCTACTGTGTCCAGTTGAGGAAACTGAGGCAAACACAGGTTAACTAATTTACCCAGGGTCACACAGCTAGAAGTCTTTAAGGTCAAATTTGAACTCAGGTCTTCCTGACTCCAGGCCTACCATTCTATCCACTGCGCCACCTACTTGCCTCTATATAGCATAGGAAAAGATGCCTGTTTTGTTTTGTTTTGTTTTGTTTTGTTTTTATGCTAGATGCTGCTTCTACTTGATATGTATAACCACAGATATTTAAAATTTACATATGCATAGGGTTACATGTGTGTAATAAGCATTTTCCTTAAGTCCAAATGATTTTCATTAATCAACAACTTCCTGTTATTCTGATATCTAGAAGCAGTTCCAAGTTTTAATCCACATTTCTAAAAGATTTTTAAGGGCAAAGGCTATCTTATATTTGTTCTCTATAATCTAGTTAATAGTTACATCTAACATAGATTAATATAGATAATATATAGGTTATCTCTATATCTCTAGCTAGATCTATACCTAAATCTACATATCTATCTATATCTGTATCTATCTACATCTGTATATCTAAATATATCTATCTATATCTGTATTCCTGCCTCTGTGACATTAGTGACGAAGTATATCCTATTTCAATTTCTTACAGAGTCTTTGTTGCTTGATGACTATGTAGTTACCCTCGACTGGAAAACATTAAAGATGATCTATTTGCAGTGGAAGGCATCAGTAGAGGTATACTGTTACACTTTTAAAGAAACACTTCACTAACTGAGACCTTAACTACACACACACACACACACACATACACACACCACCTTAACCAAAAACAGCTGGGGAAAAAAACATCTATTAAGTTTGGATATTAAAGCCTATAACACTGGTTATAGTAGGGAAATATATGGATGGATGGATGATGTGACTGCGTATGTTGTACAACTAGTTGACAAAATAAAGTAGCATTTGTTTGCTTAGATTTTCTGTAAGCTGAGATCTTTTAAGAGGATTTCTGTATTGTGGCTGTCCATAGCATGGGATTCAGGGACTATGTCTTAAGAAGGGTCTCTCTGTTAATTTGGATAGATACAGGGTATCCCAAAACTCATAGTGTAGTTTTAAGCTGTTAAGCTACTTAAGCTTAAAACTGCATTATGACTTTTAGAACACCCTGTATATATCTATGTCTATGTCTATACCTATATCTATCTGTATCTATTTACATCTCTATCTATATCTCCATATCTGTATCTCTATATCTGTATCTACATTTATGTCTTTGTCTGCATCTGTCTACACCTTTGTCTATATGTATCTATTTGTATCTATATATCTCTATCACTGTATCTATCTGTATCTGTCTATATCTCTGTGTTTATCTGTATCTGTATCTACCTCTATCTATATAGCTCTATCTCTGTATCTGTCTATATCAGGGGTGGGGACCCTGCGGCCTTGAGACCCCACATGTGGCCTTCTAGGTCCTTGGGTACAGCCTTTTGAATGAGTCCAAGTTTTACAGAACAAATCCTTTTATTAAAGAGATTTGTTCTATGAAATTATTATTTACATCTAAATCTTTACTGTGTTTGTATCTATCTGTATTTCTATACCTATATCTATCTATTTATCTTTATCACTATAACTCTATCTGTATCTATCTATAGCTATATATCTGTCTCTAAATCTATATCCATATAAATATCCATATACATGTGTTTATATATATATATATATAATATATATATATATATGTATATATTTTAGAAAAATCCTATTTCCTTTCTTTTCTTTTCCTGATCTGATTCTATTTTGGATGTCATATAAACTGGAAAGGCAGTGTGGTATATTGGATGGAAGGCCAGCTTTGGATGACCTAAATTCAAATTCTACTATGAAACCTACTAACTCTGTGACCCTGGGCCAGTCCTTTAACCTCCTGGTAGGACAGGCAGCTCTTTATGGCTATAAACGTAGAGAAGTTGATGATATTGCATGGGTGGAAAGAGTTTTCTCCACCAGTAGTTCCCAAACCTGTGAAATTACAGATCTTTGCAATTTGTAGTTTTGGAGAATTAGTTGCCTAAGGCAGTGAGAAGTTAAGAGATTCCTCAGGATCACATAGTGTGTCAGAAGTACTTGAACCCAGATCTTTCCATCTAGCTCTCTGTCTATTAATGGGGCTATCTGTGTATATGTTGAAACCAAAAATTAGACACTTATTTTACAGATTCAAAAATCATTCATGAGACTTCATTGGTCCTCTATTGTGTTACAAGGTGTCATTGATCCATTTATTTCTTGAGGAAATTTCATTGATAGATGTGGGAAGACTGGGAAAGTAAAATCCTTATAAGTCAAAATTTTAGATATCCAATATAATTTTGGCCCCCAGTGAGGGCTCAGTTAATGTTAAGTGAGGATGATGAGAGTACAGGTGAGATTATTCTAAAAGTATGAGTTATTGCCTCTGATGCCTTCAACCTATGCCTTTTCTCAAAGCTCACACAGCTCTTTATTTGAACCTGTTTTGTGTAACCTTTCGTGTATTAGTTGGTATTATAGTTGTTTGTGTATGTCATATTCCCCCCTACAGTGCTTTGAGCTCCATGAGGACAGGAACCGTGTCTTATCTAAACTTTGTATCTTCCCCCGTATGCAGCACAGTGCTCTGCACACAGTAGGTGTTTAATAAATGCTTATTTCGTTGGATTTGTTATTGTTGTTGTCTGTTGAATTAAGTGTGTCCAGAGGCATTGTTAGTGCATCTTGAAATCAAAATTATAATAATTGAATTGTAATGGAGCATTGGAAATCTAAAAGCTCAGAATAATAGATGTTTCTATTTTTTCTTGTGTGTATGTAAACACTGTCATGAAAGCAGTAGTTTATACTTCCATTTATTCAGACAAAATATTTTTTTTCTCTAAAGACCTCTTACAGTTTCTGATCTGCTGATGACAGTCTGAAAAACAGCAACATTTTAGCAAGTAGAACTATCATTTTTCATTGTACTCCATTGGGAAGGTTTTAGTTCCTTTTGGCTCTGCTCCCTTTGGGCGGTCTCTGATTTGAAGCTTAATGGTAATGCAAAATGAACACCAAATTCCTTTTCAACATATGCATTTTATCATGATGATTTCTAGGAACGGCAGAAGAAGATTAGAAAGGAAAATGAAAATTCCTTGATTGGTAAGTACAATTTATCCCACAGGACTCTAAGCCCAGAAGGAAATAAATGTTGATGTTATTTGGTATTAAAAAAAATGTTATTGCCACACTATTCTTGAAAACTAAAATATAAGAAATTTAATTTGTTACTATAGCAACCTATGTCTGCTGTTGCAAATGTAAGACTTTCTATAAATTTAGTTCCTTTTTTTGGACCATAGCAGTGCTGGTATTGTTGGTGCTGAATTTATTTTTCCTGGCTTTATTGGGTTGGACATATTTTATGACATTCTCTCAAGAGTTTAAAGAGAGTTTTTTGTTGTTTTGGTTTTTTTTGGAAGGAAGGGAATTAGGAATGTGGATAATGATTAAGTAAATTTTTTTGAAAGGCCCTAGGAAAATAGGTTAAAAATGTAGAAAAGCTCATGTTCACATGAGAATATATTTTAAATATGCTATCAAGCAGATGTTAAATAAACTCATTACACATTTGTTTGAATGCCAATTGTTGAAATAAACACAGCTGTCTTTATTCCATATGCACAGAACTAGAGTACTGCTTCTAACTGATAAGAAAATTATGTACTGTACATACACCATATGTTATCTTCAGTCATTTTAAACTAATTTATTTAAGCTAACTTATTTATCAAATCATGCTGTATATTCATTCTGCATTTATAATTATATATTTATCTGGTTAAAAAAAAGTTACAGTTCTTAGAAGAGGAAAGCAGTACTTGGAGGGGGAAAAAAGAATTAAGGCATTTGAGAGAAAAGCTTAGAAATTTTGGGCCATTTGGAAATATGGGTTATACTTTATATGGCAAAAGATAAAAGATTGTGGGGAAATTGTTAGGAAGATGAGCAAAGAAATTATGGAAGTTGGGGAAGTGAGAAAGATCAATCAATCGAACAACATTTATTAGGTGCCTGCTATGTGTCAGGCACTGTGCTAAGTTCTGGGGATACATACAGAAGCAAAAGACAGCCCCTGCCCTCAAAGAGCTTACAATTTAATGGGGGAAACAACATGCAGACAAATATATACAATGCAAGCTATATAAAGGATAAATAAGAAATAATTAGAGGCAAAGTAGTGAAATTAAAAGGGGTTGGGGAAGGCTTCCTGTAGAAGGTGAAATTTTAGTTGGGACTTAAGAAGAAATAATTTTAAGGTGAAATGAAGAATGCTAGAAGGATATAACAGACAGTCAGTTCAGAAAAACAAGACTGAGTAAGAGGTGAGTTACAGAATGTTGAAAAAAGACAATTTTGAAGGTACTAAGGGCAGAAAGAGGAAGGTCAAGGTTGACAACAGAGAACAAATATAAATTCAGGAAAAATGGATTAGTTAGAGAAGTCAGCCATCCTTGGTGAATACCCAAAGGCCTAGGCTGCCACAAGGTTTTCCTACTTTTGCATGTTAAGACATTATCTCCATTTGGCCTCTGGTTTAAAAAAAAAAAGCATATCCACTATATGCTTATTAATATATATAAACCTATAATTAATAATATAAATTTATATTGCTATAAATTTATGTTATTATATTATTATACATTATTTGCTAATTATTATGTTCAAATTTAGTACATCTGCAAAAACATTTATCATATTAACTTGCTGGGTCCTGAAGGAATGGGACCCTGAAGTGGTAAACTCTATTTGGATGGAAGAGGTGTCTAAGGATCTGGGGAAAGGAGCATTATGGCAAAGGTAGTTCTTGGTTTGGGGAAGGTGGTTGAAGGTAACTGCATCTGCAGGTCAAGGGAGGTTGGGAGGCATTGTGAGGAAGTTGGGTACCAAAAGTGGGGTACCGAAGATGAATTTTGCTTGCTTTGCTATTTTGCCTAGGGTTAGCCCTAAATTATAGTTCTTTCTTTGTAGTTGATGTGACTAGCCTTCATGATACAGAGAAACCTGATCATCAAGAGAGTCAAGGATATTTTAAAACACTTTCAGAAACAAACTTTTCCAAAGTCGACATAAAGGATAATTTCCAGGCCAATACAAGTCCTATTTTGGATACTACATCCAGTCATTCTTGAAGAATTATTTGAATAAAACACCACCTCAAAGAGAAAGGTAACATTTTGAAAATGTTTTGTTTACTAGCCTCTAAATCCCCAAATATTTATCAAAACTAACAATTTCTCTTTTAAAGAAGCAAATAGGACTTATGGGCTATATAGCATATTAAGGGGTTTGAAAATTAGATGAAGGGAATAATTAAAAAATCACAAAATTTTAGAGTTGGAAGGTATCTCAGCTGCTGCCCAGTTCTAACCATACCTGAAAGGAATCCCTACCATCCCATACTCAAAAAAGTGATTGTCCATCCTCTGCCTAAAAGAGCTCCAGTGATAGAGGACCTATTGCTACCTGAAATAGCCCCATCCACTTATACATAACTCTAATTGTTAGAATATTTTTCCTGGTGTCAAGCCTCAATTTGTCTCTTGGCTCTTCCCACCCCGGCTCCTAATCCTGCCCTCCTGGAGTCAAACATAGAATAAGTCCAATTCTTCTTCCTCTTGATAGACCTTCATAACCTTGAACAAGGCTACCATGTCCTCCCAGAGACTTCTCTACTCTAGGCTAAATATCCCCAATTCTTCCATCTGATCCCCATCCCTGGTTGCCCCCTGAGCATTTTCCCACTTATCAATGTCCTTCTCAAACTCTGATGCACAGAACTTAATACACAGTACTTCAGATGTAGTGTGGCCAGGACATACAGTGTACAGATGATACCTACTTAACCCTGTATAGCACAAATTCTGGAGTTCCCTCCCATCCCACACCTGGACCAGCAGGGCAGGTCCCCAGAGAAAAGGTACCGCTCTGGATTTCGAGTGGTTATCTCTAGTGTTATTGTTCACAAATCCCCATCTTATGCGTTCTCTCCACTATTTATTGACCAGTTAACTTTAGCTATTAGCTTTTACAAAGGGGTATTTATTAAGAAAATATAGTAAGAACCAGATTATAAAAGTATGCAAACTAAGCTACTTCAGTCTCTGTGGAGATTAGGCTCAAACTTAAAATGATTGCTACAAAACATTCCTCCATCAAGTTTACTTCTAGGTGTAGTATAAATAGGGCTATACTAGACTGACTTGAACTGAATTAGGAGAGCCAATTACTAAATTTTCAGCATGAGCATTTATTCCTCAGAAATCAACAAATGCTGCAAATCAGGGCTTGACTTGCTATTTTATTAATTGCCTGGACTTAAGAAAGCAGTGGATAGGGGCAGCTAGGTGACGCAGTGGATAGAGCACGGGCCCTGAAGTCAGGAGGACCTGAGTTCAAATGTGACCTCAGACCAGACATTTGACACTTACTAGCCGTGTGACCCTGGGCAAGTCACTTAACCTCAATTGCGTAAAAAAAAAAAAAAAGCAGTGCATAAAATGATAATAATATGTATTAAATCTAAAAGTACAATGTGCATACAGTTTTTTGGAGAACTGTTTGTTAAACATTTACCAGCACACCCCTGAGTATAGCTGATAAGAGGACATTATTCCTGTGTAGAGACAGGATATGATGTTTTTTGGCTGGATTGATTCATTGCTGAGCTGGATCAAGCAAACCGCTCCTCAGGGCTGACTTCTCACTGCACTTGCTAATGTAATTATTGGTAGATTTTGCTACGGACTCCAGCTGCTGGATCTATGCTGACTCTTCTTATCTTTTGAAACTCACAAGATCATAACCAGGTCTATTCTCTGTCTAACACTCATTCAACTAAGATTAGTAAAGAAATACACAGACAAAAGAAGTATCAGACATGCATTCACAGCCGCATTGTGGCGGGTGGGGAGATAGGGAAGTGGCCATTGCTACTTCTGCTGCTGCCGCCTCTCCCCACATTTGGAGGCTTATAATAGTTCTTGCCTAGTTCACCACCACAGAAGAGGGAGAGGTTTTGTCTTTCAAGCCTTTTGTGTGCATACCGGTTCAATGGCTCAATGGCCAACTTAAAGGCTTTTCTTCATCATCCAGTAAGCCAATAGGCAGCAGTCAGAGCATGCCTATGCCTACTCTGAAATGGAGGGAAAAGACCTCTCCCTCACATAGTTAGGCTCACCAAGCTACCATACAAATAGACAACAAGCAGAGAACACTGAGCATGCTCCAAAGACTGGTCTTTCATTGGTCAGTTTCCCCATTATACCTGGAGTCATGCTTCTCTTAACACAAGGTCACCTTAGCTTTTCTTGGATGCCACATCACACTGCCAATTAATCTTCAGTTTATAGCCCACTGAAAACCCCAGATCTTTTTCAGACAAACTACAGTCCAGCCATGCTTCCTCCCTTCTATACTTGTGAAAAAATTGATTTTTTAAAAAAACCCTTTGTAAGACTATACATTTACCCCTATTGAGTTTCATCTTATTAGACTCAGCCCAATGCTTAGCCCACCAAGATCTTTTTGAATCCCCACCTCCATTATCCAGTGTATAGGCCAACCCACTGTCCCTCCCACCCCAGCTGTGTGTCATCTGCACATTTGAAAAGTGTGCTATCTCCTCTTTTGTCCAAATCACTGATGAAAATGTCAAATAGCACAGGGGCAGGGACAGAGTTAGTTTGCTGTGTCCTAGTCCTACAGTATGATATTGTATTCTATCCCTCCTTCTATTTTAGTGTAAAAATAATAACCAGCATTTCTATAGCACCTACTATATGTGAGGAACTGTGCTAGGCACTTTACAAATATTATCTCATTTCATCCTCACAACAATCCTGGGAGACAGATGTTATTTATGATATCCCCATTTTAAAGATGAAGAAACCAAGGCAAACAGAGATTAAGTGATTTGCCCAAGGTAACACATCTAGTCAGTGTCTGAGGCTGGATTTGAACTGAGGTCTTTCTGACTCCAGACCCTTTTGCACCACCTGGCTACCTCAAATAAAAATATGAAAGAATTTATATTTTATTCCCAAAAATAGAAATTAAAAGTAATTGGCCAATTTACAAAAGAATTTAGTCTAGGATTTCTTTATGCATAGTGTTCCCTTTTTATATCTAATACTTAAGGAATGCATCTTTCCCATAAAGCAAGTTGCTTAAAAACGCAAGGAGCCAATTACTCATCACTGATGTGTATATGATTTAACTACTCAGGTGCTGGACTGATCAGAGCCTGGAAGAGTAAAATAGCTCTTCACAGGTGTATGCACACTTGTTTATGTGTTTTCCTGGTATCAGTTCTTGTAATTCTCATATGTGTATTTTTTCTTTCCAGCTTCGTTAGACACTTCTTCAGAGCTGAGACCATGTCTGGATTTTCTGTTCCTCATTTTCATTTTGGCTAAAGCTAATCTAACTGAAGACTGTATTTCTTCATTAGTAATGCTTTATAGATGGCTTTGCTTATTTCCTTCCATTTAAGAAAGAAAAAAGAAAAAAAAAACACATGGCTGTTTCTGGCTTAAATAGGAAACAGGTCATTTGAAAAGGTACCTGGGATTTCTGCTAGACTGCAAGCTTAATAATAATCAGCAGTGCAATATGACAACCCAAAAAAGCAAATTGATTTTAGATTGCATTAACATTGGTGGGCTCCTTGGCCAAACGTATCTGGAATGCAGTATTCAGTTCTGGGTAACACATTTTATGAAGGACATTGAAAAGAGGCTGGTGACTGGGATGGTCAGAGGCCTCAAGATTACACCACCTTTGTATTTCATCTCTCTGGATTCTGACCCTTGTTCCAGCTGGCAGAGTTATTTTGGGAGGCAGCATGACTCATCTGACATATTAGCCATCTTTCTCCAATTCATGTTAGCGGCAGATTTTATAAGCATGCAGTCTTTGTCTTCATATTAGTCACCCATAAAAATGTTCAGTAGAATAGGGCTGAGAGTAATCATTCTTTTGGTCCTCTCATTAAAGCAGTTATGAATCTATCTAATTACATTATAATCCTGAGCACATTTCTCCATCTAATCAACAAAGACATGTGGGCCTTTATCTAATGCCTCACTACAATTGAGTTAATCTATGTATATGCTATTTCTTCGATCTTTCAGCCTGGTAACTCAGTCTTGGAAGGAAATTAGGTGATAGGTGGCCTGTTCAGACTGTGTCTAGAGCATTCAGTTCAGGGTGCTATATTTTAGGAAGAATGTTCACAAGTTGGAGATAGTGTGGCATAGTATATAAATACCTGATCTCAAAACCAGGAAGACCTGGGTTCAGTCCCGCTTCTGACACATACTGGTTTTGTGATGCTGGACAAATTTCTTAATCTCTCAGTAATCCGGACAACTCTCTAAGATTACAAATTGTAGAGATGGTACTGACCTGCACTGGTAGAATGAGTTTCCTCTATACCAGTACCATACCAGTACTCCCTATACTGAGAATTCCCTATACCAATGAAGTTATAGGCCTAGTCCCCATACCCTCTCTTATTGACAAGTTAAACCATGTCCATTGGGGAAGGGGTGGTGGTGACCAGAATATAAATAGGAAAGAGAAAATTTGGAGTGGGTCTATGAACATGAAAGCTGTCTTCAAATAATTTGTTCTACTTGGCCCCAGTCGGCGGAAGTAGAATAATGTATGCCCTCACCACAGGGCATTAAACAAACTCCTTTTTGGAAATATTATAGAGAGAATTCATATTCAGATACAGTCTGAACTAAATGGCTCTAATATCCCTTCTAACTCTGAGATTCTGTGACGTGGAATGAATCTGGCATTTTGTTTTTCTTAGTAAACCTATTCATCGTGCTTAGTGATTACCATGTCTCTTTACAAATGTTCACAAACCATCTACTTAATAATCTGTTCAGAAATTTTGTTGGGATTCATAGATGTATAATTTGAGGAATCTGTTCCCAAATGTTCTTGAAAACCAGGACCATATTTGCCCATTTCTAGTCCTAGAGTACCTCGCTTGTCTCCATAGTTTCTCAAAGTTCACTGACAACAGTTCAGCAGTGGTATCTATGAGTTTTTTAGGGCCTCAGTTTCTTTATCTTTAAAATGACTGGGTAGGATTAAATGATTCCCTAAGGTCCTTCAGCCTAAATTCTGTGCTTCAGGCTTGGGTTCTAGACCTCACTCTGCCATTTTCTAGTCATTTGACTTTAGATAGGCCACCTCTCTGGGTCTCAGTTTTCTCATATATATATTTCTCTATAACAGAGGGATAACTATTTATATATATATATATATGCATATATATATATATATATACACATATATATATATATGTGCCCTGCCTGTCTCATGAGACTGTGAAGGTCAAATGAGATCGTGAATGTAAAAGTACTTTTAATGTTATTACTATTAACACCTCAAAGTGTTATACAAATGTAATTCAGTCAATAAACATTTATTAAGCTCCTACTATGTGCCAGGCACTGTGCTAAGACCTGAGGATATAAATACAAATAAAAGCAAAGATGGTCCCTGCCCCCAAGGAGCTTACAATCTAATCAGGGTAGACAAATCGCTGCTCTTAAGAAGTTTACAATCTAATTGGGAAAGGCACAAAAAGGAGGTGAAAAAGGGAGATAGAGGAAGGAAGGGGGAAAAGGAAGGTGCGCAGAGTTGGGGTATGATGAAGTTCAAAAACAGTGGGAAATGGGGAGAAGAATGTGCTCAGCCCCTTCCTTAAATAGACACCCTGGAGTCCAGGGTTCTGTCCTTGAGTCTGAGGGTCCAACAAGAGAGGCATAGGATCTTGATGAGATGTGAGCACAAGGCAGATTACAATTTTGCAGGATAATGAGATTTCCTGATGATGAATTCATATGCTTTGTATACAGCAGTGTTGTACAAATGTAAGGTATTGTCAAGAGGGGCCAAAAAAGGTGTTCACAATAAGTCTGGCACAAATATGGTGAGCCCTGGGAGCTGCCTAAAAGGAGGCTAACTTGCCAGAGTTGAAAAAAGAGAAGAGTTAAACTTGCTGTGTTGACCAGCAGTGGGATTTGGCCCAAGGACAGCCACTGCAGTTCCAACCCGCCTGAGATAGGGAGACCTAGTTTCAAAAAAACAAACAAACCACTCCAAACAAAACAAAAAACAAAACCATTCCTACTGGTTTAGTCCTTGAAGTCTTCTGTTAAAATGCAAATATATCCTCTGTAGGGTGCCAAGGCTTATCCCTTACTCTCTCTTGCTCTATGTATCTCATCAGTTGCCATTTCTACCACTATAACATCTCTAGATCTGACCCCTCTTTTCACACAAACACCATCTTAATTGAGACCCTTATCACTTCTTGCATAAACTGTTAACCTTGGCCTTTTATTATTCTCCCAATCTCTGATTTCTCCCTACTCCAATCTATCTTGTACTTGGTTCCCAAAATGATTTCCTCAAGCATCTCTCCACACTGTTTTTCCACTCAAGAAACTAAAGTGGCTCCCTATTGCCTCTAGGATAAAATAAAAACTCCTTTAGCTTTTTAAGCCCTACACAAGCTGGTAAACTTATCTTTCTAGTCTTATTATACATTACTCCTCTTCCCACACTCACAAACTGGATTTCTCCCAGTTCCTCATACATGGCACTCCACCTTCTGTCTTAGTGACTTTGCTGTGACCATCCTACATGCCTGGAATATATTTGCTTCTGATTCCCCCAGCATCTAGTGCCCTTCCTTTCTAACTGCCTCATATTCTGTGTGTGTGTGTGTGTGTGTGTGTGTGTGTATGTATCTATGTATAGTCTCCCTCTAAGAGAATGTAAAGTCCTTCAAAGCAGAGGTTATTTTATTCCTTGTGTTTGTATCCCAAGTGCCTAACATACAGTAAGTGCCTAATAAATGTTTGTCGATTGATTGGACATTTTGTTGTGTGGAAAATGCTTTTTAAGTGTTAAAGTACTGGATAAAACTAATTAGGGTTACCCTAATTACCATAGGAGTCATCCAGGATAAGTGATTTGGACTCACTCTGAATACCTGTGTCTGCCCCTTATATAGTTTAGGTTCTGATTTCCTCTTAGTTTTTGTTTCATCCTTTTCATGCAGAAGTTAATTTACTGGGGCAGGTAGAGGGCACAGTGGATAGAGCTCTGACCTTGGAGTCAGGAGGACCTGAGTTCAAATCCAACCTTAGATACTTGATACTTACTAGGTATGTGACCCTGGGCAAGTCACTTAACCCCAATTGCCTCACCAAAAAGAAAAAAAAAATAGAAGTTAATTCATTTTTGATAAGGGAATATGGAAATAAAATGGGAATTATTTCTGCTGTCTCTTGGTCATCCATTACCATTGTCCATGTACCCAAAACATCTTTTTCCTGGGTATAATTTTTTAAAAAGGCAAACCCCAACACATCTTCTTTTCTTGTCCATAGTATTTTTTCATAAGCCTCAGCTTATTATGAACTTTGTTCTTCTTGACATTATTTTTACTGGTTCATGCCACACCCTTTGGTTGTGTGCCCCTACTTTTAGTTACATGTGTCATTCTAAAATATGAGCTTATCAGAGAGCTCTCCATAGTCAGATGGATTTAATTAGATGCTTATTCTTTTCTTCTTCATTGGAATCACTCTACACTGTTGATAAAATTTTGTTCTTGAGTGTTAATAGACTCTTCAGCAGGGTGCTAATGAAAGACATATTCATTCATTTACTTGTGTCTAACTCTTTGTGACTCCATTTGAGGTTTTCTTGGCAAAGATACTAGAGTGAGTTGCCATTTTCTTCTGCTCATTTTTCAGATGAGGAAACTGAAGCAAACAGAGTTAAGTGACTTGCCCAGGGTTACACAGCTAGTAAGTGTCCGAGGCCACATGTGAACTCAGGAAGATGAGTCGTCCTGACTCTAGGGCCCTTGCTCTATCCACTGTGCCACCTAGCTGCCCCCATAAAAGACATACTGAAATACTAACAATGGTTCTGAGTGTCACACCTGAATATTGATTGGTCTATAGGTAGATAAATATATGTACAGGAGCATTAGGATAGGATTGGAGTAACAGGCTCACAAAGCCAGTGGTTGGACTTTTTCTGATGATATTTTTTTGAAAGGGGCAGTGCCCAACCTTGCTGACCACAAACTTAATTATTATACCTCTTGGTCAGTATGAAGATAAAGGACATGAATGAACAATTCTGAAACAAAATATTACTCAAGATAAAAACAGTATTAAAAGAAAACAAGATCTCCCTGCCCCCTTCCCCAAACTATACAATTCCCAGACCAAAATTTGGCAGAACTCAGTCTCCAGTAAGTCACCAAAGGTTTCCCTACCCTAGCTCCAGAGTAAATTAGGCTTGTCCTTGAAGGAGATACCTAAGAGTTCTATAATGATCTTTTGTGTAGCTATCTAACTTGTTTATATAAAGAAGAAACAAATGTTTTCAAGGCTAAAAGTGAAAGAGATAGGCCAGAATAGAGTTTTTGTACATAAATTCATACCATGGGAAAGCAGGGATGTCAGAACTGTATTTGCAGTTTGGAAAAAAAAAATGTTTGTATATGTATTGAAGAGTAGAGACAGTTTTTTGGGGGGTGGGTGGGAGGGTGTTGGAGAGTGGGCTTTTCTCTCTTACTATCTTGATACTGTTTTGAAAACATTGTTTTGAAAATTTTCTTGTTATGTATTTTCTTCCTTTTCTCTTCTTCTTTCTCTTTTGCTGTTACTTCTTGTTTGTGTTGGATAATATTTACCATGTGTGGGGGTTTTAAATCTTTTTCTCTTTTTGGCTTGGAGAAGAGCTCAAAGTACATTTGCTACTGTCACTTTCTCTCTTTATTGTCCTGTCCTATCTGTCCAAAGTCCTATCTTTGGACTTAGATGACAAGTCACAGTCTCTACTTCTGTCCCCAGTATTCTAGCTTTGTGTGTCTTCCCCTTCTTTTGAACCTTTACCTCTGTTCACTCCCTTCTGTGAATGTGTCATCTCTGAACAACTGCGGTATGTATGTGTTTACTATTAGAAACAGGTAAGGCTAAGTTTATGATGCCAAGTAGTTATTTTGTTGAACTAATTTATTTTCTTAATAAACAATGATTTCCATACTTGTCAATGGGCTGAACTTCCAATATGATCAATATATCTTTTAATTCTATGAGCATAGGAAATTTGTGTACCTGTTTTCAAAGAGAGATTTGTGATATTGTGAGTTTTGGGGCACAATATAGTAAAATTCACAAAGCCAAAAGATACTAAATTCATGAAACTTGTGGAATAGTTATACAGGAAGCACATCTGTGAGAGGAGTCTCTCTGACATGAGTCTTCCATCTTCCATTCTTCATCCTAGACTATGAGAGCTATACCTATCGTTTCTCTGAAATTCTTAAAGTCTAGGATATATGCCAGAGTAGAGTCAGTATTTTCCTTGGCGATTAGGACCTCTAGGACGGTATTAGCACTTGATACAAAGATTCTTGTTTCCATTTTGATAACAAGTTCCTCCTTGTCATCCTGACATCCTGACACACTTTTTTAAAAATGTGTTTCTGAAGATGACATTACCAACAAACTAGGTCAAGAAAGCTTCAGATGTTCTGCTCTTAATGAAAAAAAGAGTTCCAAGCAGATGCCCAGATAGCTGCAATCCTCCACATTACATCTTGGTTCTGTGCTATTTTTTGTGATCTGTATCTAGAACTCATTTTCAACTTCTTCAACTTGACCAGGTGGTCTATCTGTAGTATATTCCCACAGTAGGATCACACCTGTATCTCCCTACTATACCCTCACTCGCATATTCTCTGCTAGGCTTTCCCTAGCAGAGTGGTGACATTTTCCACACAAGTATACTACATCATAACATGTAGAGTTATGCTATTCCCTTTCTACCTATTCTAATGCTTTTGAATAAGGGACAGTTTTCTGTTGCTGTGTTCCACTCATGTATCCAATCCTTCAAGGCCTTTTTTTAAATGTTCACATTAGTCATATAAAAAAGAATTAGAACCAATAGGAGGAACCACAAGAAAGAAGAAACAAAGCAAAACAGAAAAAAAAAAAGGAGCAAATAGCATGCTTCAATCTGCATTCAAACTCCGTAGTTCTTTCTTTGGATGTGGACAGCATTTTCTATCATGAGACTTTTGGAGATGTCTTAGATCCTTGCATTGCTGAGAAGAGCTAAGTCTATCAAAGTTAGTCATCGCATAACGTGGCTGTTACTGTGTACAACATTCTCCTGGTTCTGCTCACTTCAC